AATTGTTATCCAAAATCCCTCACACGAGCAAATTGAAAAGTTCTTTAATTCCAAAGAATTGTCCTCTTTGAACTTAATTCTGGGAGACAACATGTGGTGATAGCTGAGTGTTTTGAAAATGTGGTTCATGGACTTCCTGCATCAGAATGATCTGAAGTGTTTATTAGAAATGAGGATTCTTAAAACCAATTTCAGGACCTTAAGTTAGTATCTTATGGATGGGAGTAAAATAGAGGGAAAGAATGGGAATCTGCATTTTTTTAACAAGCTCCCCCAGCTTGATTCTAGTGTTCAGGAAAGTTCTAGAGTCACTGTTGTAGAGGAAAGAAGAGTCATCTCAGAACTAGAGGACCTGTGGTGCAGGTCTGACCTGTGGCATTTACTAGCCAAAATGCGTTAACCCTTGTAATGCCCAGTTTCTCGTCTGTGAAAAGGAAACACTGATCTGCCTTCTCTACCTTCCAGAGCAATTGTAAAGCTCAGCTGAGATAATAAAAACATTCGCTGACTTCTATCTAGTGTGTATACAGTTTACAAAGTGATTATCCACCTTATCTCATTGAAACTTAGGATGGTCCCATGAACTCGGTTTTCCTCCCTGTCGATGGAGACGGACGCTAAGTCGAGGTTACATGGCTTGTCTAGTAGGTTGCAGAGTTAGTGCACAAACCCAGGTCTGGACCACAAATCACAACTGAAGTAAAATCAAGGCTCCATGTCAATGTGCTATTTATGAGCATCACTTTAGCTAAGACTGCCGCCTTGGTTATGGTACTGAAACTAGAGAAGAGGAACTTCATAAGAAAGTGTCTACATTCTGAATGCCCAGGTTATAATTATACATGCAAAGAGTAATAATTATTTGAAAACAAAAGCTGTGAGGTCATTGAGGTACACTTCCTTAGCCATGGCATTAGAGTCTGTGTCAGTCTTGGTGTGTCAAATATTTCTAACTCATGCACCACTAAATTCACTCATCTTAAATTATAAGCCTGATTAACTTCATTCATTTGATTTTTCTGGGTCATGGTTTTGTTTCTTCTACCTAGATTTGTGCAAGAGAGAAATATTTGGAAAATCATTTTTGTTCCTTACATGCTCTATGAGTAAAAGAAAAGGCTTCCATTGAATGGTTTATAGTTCTCTTAATAAAATTAAGCTTCTGCTACGTATACTCTGTGAAATGGCTGGATGGGTTTTCATCGAATTTGGAGGGTATGTCTGGGATAGTCCAACTTAGAATATAATAGGGTGTGTTGTGTATAATAAATAGATCTTTGGGTGTCAGAGATGGGTACCCTTCCTAAAGACATCACACGTCCTCCAGAGTAGCTGAACAAGAAGCAGCCTTGGGCTTCCCTGGTGGCGCAGTGGTTAAGAATCCGCCTGCCAATGCAAGGGACACGGGTTCGAGCCCTGGCCCAGGAAGATCCCACATGCCGCGGAGCAACTAAGCCCATGCACCACAACTACTCAGCCTGCACTCTAGAGCCCGTGAGCCACAACTACTGAGCCCACGTGCCATAACAACTGAAGCCTGCCTGCCTAGAGCCCGTGCTCCACAACAAGAGAAGCCACTGCAATGAGAAGCCCGCGCACCGCAACGAAGAGTAGCCCCCGCTCGCCGCAACTAGAGAAAGCCCATGTGCAGCAACGAAGACCCAACGCAGCCAAAAATAAATAAATTAATTAATTAAAAAAAAAAAAAAAAAAGCAAGAAGCAGCCTCTGTGGCCAGGAAAGACAAGCCGTATGTATTAGATTCATTGGGCAGGGGAAAAAAGTGCTTTCAAATCTGAGCCAAAATCTGACGTCACAAGGTCAGACACTGAACTGTCAATGCTGATTTGGGATGTGGTCGATTTTCTTATAACCCCAGGTTGAGAGCTTGAGGACAAGGTCAGTACTTAACCACAGTGTTTTATGTTGGGTTCCCCCAAGAGTAGAACTGGATACAAGGATTTGAGTGCAGGTGGTTTATTTGGGAAATGGTCTCAGATAGACTGGTAAGGAAATGGGCAAGTTTGACAGGGGACACAGGAAAGCCAAAATAGGGTTCATGAGGCCTCCGTCCAGCTGGAGGCCTCTGTGAGTCCAAGTAGAACTCACTTCAGAGTTATCCCACCCAGGGGCAAGGAAGCTGGGGGGTATTTATCCTCCAACTTCAATCCATCATGGCTGTTTCCAGGGTGTTAAGACCCTGGCCCTTCTGACCTGCCCTGAAGTGTCCAGAAAAGGCCCTCAGGCAGGGAATCAGGGATACGTACAGCTAAAAGCCCTCAGCTTCACTGAGCACTTCCAGAGTTTCCTGTAACCCAGAGGGCTGTGTCATGGGTGAGTTTGTCTGTGATAATGATGACACTACGTTGGTAATGTAACAATACCCACCTACTGAGTGCCTCTCGTATGGTGGTTGCCATAGTGGGTCCCTTATGTATCTCTTTCAACCCACACATGCCCAATGTCGAAGGCATTAGGATTCACGTTTCCCACGAGGAAGGGAAGAGTCAGAAAGCTTCGGTTACTGGCCTAATTCACTCGGTTTGCAAAGGAAAGCCAGAATCTGAACCCAGGCCTTTGCTATAGAACATACCCTCTCCACAGAGCAGGTAGTAAATACAGATTTGCTTAGTGGCCAAATTGAATACACATAAAGAGTTCCTTTTAACTTTTGGCACTTCAAGGTGGTGTTTTTGTTGACTCCTATCTGTCTTGACTATTTTCCGAAACCCACCCCTTACCTGTTCCTCTCACCTCTAGGCAAGGCTGATGTGTGTCATATAAGAAAATATGGATACTTTTTAGTCCTAGATAAATATGATGTACATGTTGTGTGTATATAAAGCCTCAGAAAGTTCACACTGGAAATGGGGGCAGGTCAAAGGGACTCTGACACCCTATCATTGACTCATGGCAGGAAGAAACGGTTTCCCTCTCTCCCTATCTCACTCCCTTTCTTCAAGTAACAGAATGGGCTCAATGTAGCTTCATGCAACATATACTTATTTTCTGGACTGGTTCACAACAAATATTAAAAAAGTTTAAGAAAATGTGTTGGGCTTCCAACAAAGTTTGAACTATGCAGATGTTGGTGGGATAGAAAATATGAGATAAGCTGTTTCCTACCATAGGAAGCTTCTGCTACTCACCATAGGTTCATGGCTGATAGAGAAAAAAAAAATAATTAGATAGATACATAGGGTTTGAAATGCTATGAAACTGTGTTTTCCCAATGCAGTCACACTGAAACTCTCAGGTAACCTGGTCAGAGGAAGAAGGATTCTCCAGAGGGATTCAGTTTTTAGTCTCTAAGAGTTTCAGCCACCAGCATGCAGGGTTCATCTACTTGAAGGCATAAAATGTTAGATTTTGGAATAGTTAAGATTTGCCATGCAGTAAACTGTATAACAACTTCTTTGCTTATCTCCTCCCCCACCCTCTACCCAAGCTCCAAGGGGGCAACCAAAGCCACTTTTTTTTCAAATGGATCAATGTCTGAGATATTGGCTTCTATTTCTGAAGAACTCACTTTTGAGCTTGTTTGTCCAACTCTGTGGTTCAAATTAATTTCACCCTTCAGGGATTTGTAGGCATGTTGACAGATTCAATGAAAAAAATGGAGTTTTATTGGAAAGGGTGTTAGTCGGGGAAACAAAGGGCTCGGGGGATAGTTTGGTAATGGGCTATGGAGACTTTCTTCTTAGGTCACCGGCTCGGCTCAAATCTAGAACCTGCTTGGCAGTGATTGAAAATCATTACTACTTGACAGCTGCCTGACAGGTGGCCAGTAACATGTTGGTACCCTGCTCCTGCATCCCCTTCTAGGCAGAATAATCACATGACAGGAGGGATAGCACGGATTACATGAAAACACAGGGGCTGAAGTAACAGTTTCCTTTCTCAACCTCTTGTCACTTAGTGGGTTAAATATTTTTATCAATTTAACAGATTATGGCCCACCAAAAGATTTCCATGCTTACCTCTTAACAGTGGTGAAACCTGATTAAAACCAAGGGAGAAAAATGAAACACAATGAGCAATGATTTGTGAAAAAGTAACTGCTCCATTGATCCGCTGCTAATAGCTGAGCTAGACCATCTACACGTTTACATAAAAAAGACCAAAACATCATAAAAGGCCAGGACTGGCATCAGGAAAACAAGCAGGGACAAACCCCAAGTAGAGGTTGGCTGCAGGAAGAAATCTGGCAGGTTTCCATCTGAAGGGCCCTTAAGAGACATGCAAGGCAAAGAGCCACGTAAGACTCATGATGGGCAACTTGGCGCCATGTTAATTTCAGCGTGGCCGTTCTCAGCTGGAACCCAGTCACCAGATCACATCTCTGCAGGAGTCCATCCTTAATGCAGGCTGGGCCCAGATAATGAGAACTTGATTCTTAGTGGGGGAATTGCCTTCTTTCAATGGGCTTAAGCCAAAACCTTTAAAATTATTTTAACGTCAGTTTTCTTTTTAATGGGACATGTAAGTACTAGGAAAATTATAGCATTAAAAGGGTTGCTTTGGACTTTCTTTTTGTAATTGCCTTTTAGAGGGTAGAACTTTTAATTCATTCCAAAAATTTCCCACTGATATGAGGAACCTGATGCAAGCTTCATATTCTGAGTCAAGTTCCTCATATTTTCCCCTAGAAAAACCCTCAAGACACTCACTAGTTTGAGCTCAACACATGTTCATCCCCCATAGGCAATAAGCCACGGGATTTCCAGAGAGGTGGCAAGACTTATCCACTGCTCTTGACCAAAGTAAAGAGTGTGCTACAACCAGTTAAGAGTTAAAGGCATTAAGTCGTGTGTGATTAATTTGCAAACAATACCACAAGCTGCGCATCTAAATGAGTATTGCACCCTTCAAAGTACACCTGTATGAGACTGATGGTTTGAAATGTGAGTTACTGCCTTACGTTTGGCTACAACGATATCATGGACAACTCCCCAAATCTGAGTGGTTATGACTACAGGCTTTTTTTTTTCTTGCTGCCAGGTCTGCATGTTGGCTGTGGCTTAGCTGGCCTTGACCATTATAGGACCCAGGCTGCAGCGGTAACACCTGGAGACTATTCTTCCCATCATGGAGGGCAGGAGCTCAAGAAAGGTGAGTAGAAACACGCAGAACCTCTTACAGCCTCGACGTGAACTGGGATGTGATTGTATCTGATCACGTTCTAGTTATTGGGTGAAAGTGATCAGGGGATGATGGGTCGGGGGAGAGGGGACATTGTTGATCATGAATACAGTCGACTGTAGTCACATAACTTAAAACCACAAAACTTAAAACTGTACAGTTATATTCTTTTATTGACTTAGTGCATGTTTACAGAGCATCTACTCACTACAGAAACTCGTTACTGTATTGAGGTGGGCGTGGTACATTCATTAAATCATGTCATCCTCTCGACAAAACTCCAAGGGAGGTACTTGTTCTCATTTTACAGATAAGTCGATGGTAGCCTGGTGCAGCAAAGTACCGTGCCTTGGCCCTAACACTAGGAAGTCATAGAACCAGCACTGGAGCTTCAGTGCTCTCGCCCTGAGCCTGCGCTCCTTGGCAGCCTCTGGCCCTGGCGCTGCCTTCTTGGCCCCCCAAGACTGGGACCAAGAGAAGAGGGCAGCAGGTCCCCAAGTGCAGATCAACAGTTGGCTGGAATTGTTACATAAAGAGAGAGAATTCTCTTTCGTAAATGAGTTGAGGACATTCTGGAAAGTGAGGTGGTTGATCAAGTTTGCTAATCCCAGTTGAGGTCTGAGGTGAGTTGGGACTCTGCGTTAATGCGGCTGACTTTACTTGCCTTACAACCTGGTCTGGGAGGCAGTTCTGAAGTGTATTCCCACTTCGTCATCATCCACCTGCAGCTGAGGCTGGGGACGCCTCCACAACTGTGGCTCCTGCATTATTAAGTCCAGAGAGACATAGAGGTACACTGTGCCAACACGTGAGTACAGAGGGACTCAGTGTGTTTGGTAACTTTTAAACACTTAGTAGATACTATACCAAGTACAGGAACTCAAAAACAAAACCAGAGATGGTACCTCCCCTCATGGAACTTATGGTCTAGAGGACAAGACAGACTTTTGTTAGACACATTCATGGATATGTAATTACAAAATGGGACACTTTTTTATTTTTTTAATTTGAAAGGAAGGGACAAAGTTCCATGAGAGGATAGGACAAAGGTGAGGAAGACTTCCACAAGAGGTGATGGGACTTTAAGGGAGAGAGCCGGATAGAGGCTAAATGTGTGTGTGTGTTAGTGGTATGAGAGATGGGAAGTGTTCTAGACTGAAGAAGAAGTGTGTGCCCAGACCCTGGGATGGGATGAAAGAAGTAACAGTCCAGCAGGACTTCTGTAAAGGGCTGGTGCCTTGAGTTTCCTCTTGGCTGCCTTGCAGCTGCCTCTGAAAGGGGCCAGTGGCCTATAACTCCCCCTCATCTACAGCCAAGTTCAAAGAGAATAGATGTCACCTCTAATAAGATCTTCCTCAGAGCCTGCTGCAGTCCCTATCTTGCAAAGGGGAGCATTGTTCAGCTATGAGAAATCAACTTCCCACTGCCCCAGAGAGCCCTGAGGTATACCTGAGGACTGGAGCCTGCACAGGTTAGAAGCTGCAGTAACAGAACCACAGTTTGCCATCCGCTGGTGGGGATCAGTCCCTTACTTAGGGAATTCAACACATGTTTACTGAGTATTCACAATATTCCAGAAGCAGAGGAGAGAGATAAGACAGAGACAACCCTTCTATTAAAGAGTGCATGGTCTACAAGAGAAAACACACCCACAGGCATGCAATTGTAAATAATAGACTAGGATACTGCTTTAGAGTCCTGGCCAGCACGGGCGGAGAGGCCCCTCACTCAGATTCCGGATGTCAGGGAAAGCTTCTTGGAAGAGTTGAGGATTGAGAAAACTGTTGGCCAATTAATAGGAGTCCACCACCCAAAGAAGGGCCATCAGTAGCTCCATTAGAGGGAACAGTAAGTGCAAAATCATGGGTGTGGGGCTTCCCTGGTGGCGCAGTGGTTGAGAGTCCGCCTGCCGATGCAGGGGACACGGGTTCGTGCCCCGGTCTGGGAAGATCCCACATGCCGCAGAGCGGCTGGGCCCGGGAGCCATGGCCGCTGAGCCTGCGCGTCCGGAGCCTGTGCTCCGCAACGGGAGAGGACACAACAGTGAGAGGCCCACGTACCGCAAAAAAAACAATAAACAAATAACAAAAAACAAACAAACAAAAAATCATGGGTGTGTGCAAAATACAACAACAATTCCACAATGTATTGGGGTACAGGAGCATTTAGCCTTCTGAGTCAATATCCGACCTGGAAGAAGGCCTTTGAATCAGCCTCCTCTCTGCTTCATCTGCAGCAATGTTGCTTCCTGTTTTTTTTCCCCAGCGTTTATGAGAGATAATCGACATATAAGATTATACTGTGTACACAGTGATGATTTGATACATGTATATATTTCAAAATGTTTACCTCGATAAGGTTAATTAACATCTCCTCTCCTCACATAATTACCATTTTGTTGTTCTTGCTGTTACGGTGAGACTATATAGTTAACCCTAGTTATCTTACCGTAATTAGAGCCCCAGAATTTATTCACCTTAAAACTGAAACTTTGTGGCCTTTGACTGACGTGCTCCCGTTTCCTTCTCCTCACAGCCTCCACCAGGCAACCACACTTCTACTCTGTTTCTGTTTTATCTTTTTAGATGCCACATATAAGAGAGCTCATACAGTATTTGTCTTCCTCTGTCGGACCTATTAGTCTGATGCACCTGTGCTTTCTGCTTCCAGACTCATCTTATCTGGCCTTCCTAGAGTGCCATGAGATGTCCTGACAAAACTCCTGTCTGGATAATGGGTGTCTGGGCTTGGGGCTGCAGGCATGGTCGGTGTGGGAGTTATTGACACAATTACTGGGAGGTTTGGGGGGCTGCAGTGCTGCTGAGCTCTGGAGGACATTTCCGTGGCACACAGCTCCAAGTGAGGTGACAGGACAGGTGCTAGGAATCCTTTCCCCAACTCTCAGTTCAAAGCCATTGGCTCTAGCACTCATCGGGAGTCACCTTTTCCCCCTTTGGTATTCATGGGGGGATTTTCCTCATTGTATCTCTGTTGTATTGTTTTATATACATATAGAGCCTCTCCTGCTAGACTGGGAAATTGTAGAGGGCTCTGTCTAGTTGATTTGGGGCATAGTGTCAGGTAGTGTTTATAGGCAGAGCTTTGAAGCTCTTGCATTTCTACCACCTCCCTGCAGGTAGGTAATTGTACACGCTGAGCCCCTGTTCCTTCTTGCAAAATGTCAGTTAGTCTCTTTCTGTAAGAAATGCCTTTGGGATTTTGAGAGGGCTTGCATTGACTCTGTAGATCACTTTGGGTAGTATGGGCATTTTAACAATATTGTCTTTCAATCCATGAACAAGAAATGTCTTTCCATTTGTTTCCATCTTCTTTAATTTCTTCCCTCAATACTTTATAGTTTTCAGTGTATGTCTTCACTTCCTTAGTTAAGTTTATTCCTAAGTATTTTATTCTTTATGATGCTCTTTGAAATTGAGATTGTTTTCATCATTTCCTTATCAGGTAGTTTGTAATTAGTGTAGAGAAACACAACTGATTTTTCAGTGGTGACTCTGTATTCTACAGCTTTACTGAATTTATTAGGTCTAACAGTTTTTTGTGGAGTCTTTAGGGTTTTGAAAAAACAGGTCTAAAATTCACATGGCACCATAGTGATTCCCCCAAATTATTCCACACATTTAATAAAATATGAATTTAAAAAATCTAAAGAGCTTATCACCAAAGTTGACAAAATTATTCTAAAATTTATTGGGAAAACTAAAGTGCTGAGGAAGCATTTTAAATCAAGTGGAAAGGATGGATGACTCAATAAAAGGCACTGGAATATTGACATCCAAATGGGGAGGGAGACTAATTCAGATCTCTGTTTCACGCAATATTCAATAATGAATTTCAGTTGGATTAAATATCTTAATTTGAAATGCAAAATTTAACATGCCCTTTACAAAGTAGGAGACTAACTTTACGACCTTGGAGTGGGAAAAGATTTCCCTTTTTTTTTTTTTTTGCGGTACGCGGGCCTCTCACTGTTGTGGCCTCTCCCGCTGTGGAGCACAGGCTCTGGACACGCAGGCTCAGCAGCCATGGCTCACGGGCCCAGCCGCTCTGCAGCATGTGGGATCTTCCTGGACCGGGGCACGAACCCGTGTCCCCTGCATCGGCAGGTGGACTCTCAACCACTGCGCCACCAGGGAAGCCCAAGATTTACCTTTTTTAAAATGCTAGAATTTTATCTCTACAATTTTTTACCAAAATTTTTGGAAAAGACCGAAATTATTCCTAGTCCTAAAAACAAAGTTTTCTCAGATCTGAGGATAGTCATTTTCTAGTTGTTTGTTTTTTAGAAGTCAAAATTGGACTATGAATTGCTCAGAGTCTTTGGGGTTTTTTTTTTTTTTCCATGATGAAATGTAGCTGTGGCTTTTACTATTAGAAATATCTTACTGGAATCAGGGCTCGGTAGATAGTTTAAGTTAACTAGGAAATGGCAGTTAGCAAGGCTTTTTGTGACTCTCTGTTTTCACCCTTTCTGGTTATTTTTTAGAGATGCTTCAGTGAGCTGGCTATGAAGGGGTGCCTTCTTGGGTTGGGAGGCTAGGTCTATCTTACCCTGATGTTTCAAGGCTAGTGTGCCCTGCCCATAAAAGTAGGAATAGAGTGATAAGTGAACAACCAATAAGAACCATGATAGATCAATGTTTTAAAATAAAATACATAATTAAAACTACTGACCCATGAAAAGGTGCAACTGGATACAGAAAATGTGCATGTACAGGGAAAAGATTTCTTTTTTTTTTCATTTTTAAAAATTGAGGTAGAGTTGATTTACAATATCCTGTTAGTTTCAAGTGTACAGCACAGTTATTCAGTTATACATATATCTCTGTATATCTATTCTTTTTCAGATTCTGGGAAAAGATTTCCTAAACAAGATGTACAAAGTAAAATCCTTAAATTAAATATTTAGAATCTAAGGCTTTTCAACAAAATGTTAATTTAGAAATCTACAT